TCGTTTTATTACAGAGATGTGAGCACAGTGAACGAAGAAGGGTGGGCATACGCAGGGTTTCTTTTCCAGCTTAGTTTAGCAACAACAGCGTCTACAATTGTGTCTGGTCAGTTGAAGCTATTAAAACCACGTTCAAGATAACTTTAACAAGGATTGTCTATGTTTTTAAACTCCGTTTTTTAATTTCTATTTCTTAAGGTGTTCATAGGCATGAAAACCAGTGCTAATATCATAAAGCCATTATGTTTCTTAAGTGAAAAAAGAACAGGAAAGATTAAAACCACAAAGATTGGGTGAGCACTGACAAGGATGTTTAAGCCTATTTCTAAAGCGCAGCTGCGCAGACGACGCAAAAATAAACTATATTTTCCTCTTTATACACTACGAATCTATCTTCAACGCAGATTCCATGGCTTCTTGCGTTTGTTTGGTTAGTTGGCTTATATCCACCATAGCCGAAGTTCTTTGGGAAACTTTTAAGCCTGGTTCCTCCTTATCGATCAGACAGAGATGAAAGGAGTTTGGCCAGTCCGATGAATGGTCGAACTAAGGAATCTCTAGTCACTTCAGTTACTGCAAACCTAAGTAGAAATAGGAAAGTTTAGGCACGAGAAGCGATAGGAAATAAAAATGAAAAAGATGAACAGGAATGAGTTTGATAGAAAATGTGACAAAACTGAAAAAGCCTAAACAAGTCGAGTTAAAAAGTACGTATGAGTCGTCTTAAAGTATTGTAATCTTTTTGACCGGAACAATATCCTTCCAAATTATCGCACGTTGGTTCCGCTGGTGTCATCGCTGTTCATCTGTCGTCTGCCCCGCTCATAGACATATCCAATTCTGCTTTGTGATGGCCGTTCTTAAAATTCAAAGTATTACAATTTATATCAAAGCGTTCCAAGTATTCATCACCCAGTCAGTGGTCGTCCATCTTGGATCAGAGAGAAAGAAAGAAAGAAAGAGAAAGAGAGAGAGAGAAACGGAAGTTTGTGGCTTCTTGACTAGAATTCTTCCAGACTGCATAGAATCATGCTATCCCAATTCATTCAACAATTAGTCTTTGAACATGAACACTTCACTTGTAACACCTGTAGTCCCGTTGATCATCGAGTGACTCGAGAGGGCGCCAGTAAATCTTCCATTTTTCCCTGTCGCGTGCAAGAGTAGCCCAGTGGGTTCTGCTCGCTCTAAGGACTCGTGGAGCATCATATCTTTCTTCAAGGCTCTTTGTGCAGAACGATGACTACCGGGTCGGTGGTCTTCCTGCAGTACATTTGATATCCCGAGGAATCCAGTCACTAACGGCTCTTCCCATCAGTTGTCGTTCATACACATTATGTATTCGGCTCACCTCGTCTCCGACTATTTGGCGCACAGAACGGCATCTTTGATTTTTTGATCGTTGACGCAGTTCGTAACTTCGGGTCCCATCCCTTGTGTGAAACAGGATGCTCCTAGCATTGTCCTTTCGATACCGCGTTCAACAACGCCTTACGCAGCAACCAGGTTTCTGACGCACACGTTAAGGCAGGAAGTACCGTTGAGTCGGAAAGGTGGGCACGGAGTCGGCTGTTCTTTGTTCGCCTCTCTACATCCGCGATGCTCTTGAAAGCACCCTAAGCCCTTCGTTTTTTTTCTGCTCAGCTCTGGAGCTAGGTCGTTCATCATATTGATTTCCCGACCTAGATAGATATAAGTGGAGCATTCAGAGATATTCGCTCCGTTGAGCGTGAACAGGGCATGCGAAACCAATCCGTTCCTCATGAACATCGTTTTTGAGAGATTTAGTCGAAGACCAGAGATGGTATCGCCTTGGCTACCTCCTCTTTTGACGTCAATGNTCGAACGGGCGCCAGTAAATCTTCCATTTTTCCCTGTCTCGGGCAAGAGTTGCCTAGTGGGTTTTGCTCGCTCTAGGGATTCGTCGAGCATCATATCTTTCTTCAAGGCTCTTTGTGCAGAACTCTGACTATTGGGCCGGTGGTCTTCCTGCAGCACATTTGATATCCAGAGGAATCCAGTCACTAACGACTCTTGCCCATCAGTTGTCATTCATACACATTATGTATTCGGCCCACCTCGTCTCGGACTATTTGGCGCACAGAACGGCATCTTTCATTTTTGATCGTTGACGCAGATCGGAGCTTCGGATTTCATCCCTTACTTGTGTGGAACGGTACACTCCTAGCATCGTCCTTTCGACTGCTCGTTCGTTAACGCTGAGTGACCTTTCATCCTGCTTACGCAGCAACGACGTTTCTGATGCATACATTAGGGCAGGAAGTACCGTTGAGTCGGAAAGGTGGGCACGGAGTCGGCTGTTCTTTGTTCGCCTCTCTACATCCGCGATGCTCTTGAAAGCACCCTAAGCCCTTCGTTTTTTTCTGCTCAGCTCTGGAGCTAGGTCGTTCATCATATTGATTTCCCGACCTAGATAGATATAACTGGAGCATTCAGAGATATTCGCTCCGTTGAGCGTGAACAGGGCATGCGAAACCAATCCGTTCCTCATGAACGTCGTTCTTGAGAGATTTAGTCGAAGACCAGAGATGGTATCGCCTTGCCTACCTCTACAGAATAAAAATATGGTCGAAAGTACGGCAAAACAAGCGCCTCGGTTGATGCGGCGGATAGTACCTGTGCTCCCAGCAAGGGTAGTTAAGGGTTCGAACTTCAATTGCGGTTCCAAGTTTTGCTCATATCTAAGGATCCTTGTGGTTGTATTTCTCATAGCACACTACCGTGAAAAAAGAATAGGCAGTTAATAAAACTTGAAACATCTATGTACTATTATTATTATTATTATTATTATTATTGTTGGCGGTTATCGTCCTCATTGCGACTATTATTATTATTATTATTATTATTATCAGTTTTTTACTGGATAAGCACATGGGAGAGTAGAGGGACCATTCACAACAGCTGACATTTCGGTTGATTTTGCTTTTCTCGAAGATGAATCATTACTATTCCGAAAAAGGAGATATTCCCAGAAACGTCAGCTGTTGTGAATGAACCCCATATAATAACTAGCTGTGTGGTTATCAAGAAAATAACGAGATATTTACTAATACCAAGGTTAGTAGAAAGTCGGTCTTAGGTTACCATTATTGTTGCTCTTATTGTTGCTGTCATGATAATTGTCATTGTTATTGTCACAATTATTATCACTGTTGCTATCATTACTATTACCATTATCGTCATCATTATTATTACTACCATTAGTACGCAGGCGCCCTGCAACCCACACATGGAATCGATTCCCGAGCCCATGACCCACCAAGCCTTCCATCCCTCCGAGGTCGGCAAATCGGTGCCAGACTTGTCTGGGAGGATAGCAGCACTGGCTCGATACGTTGGTAGACGACCGCAAGTCATTGTAAAGGTTAGATATGCATTCAATCACCTCCAACGATGCTTAATGAAGTCGAATGCATGGCGCATCACTCGGGGATTGATCAAGGCCGAAAGCTTCATTATTTTGTCCTTTTAGTATTGTTATTGTTATTTCTACGATAATAGTAGCTAATTCTTATTATTATTTATTATTATTCACTGTTTCCTTTGATCACCAAATACGAGGTTGTTATTGCATGCCAGTTTGACCTACTCAGGCTCTGAAGGAGGCGAAATTGCAGGAACGTCAGCTACTTTATTAATATTTACTATATAACGAATCCCATATTTACTCATCAAAGAGAACAGTGAACTCTTGGTCTATGTTTAGGCTAAAAGAAAGTCAGTCTTGGAGTTTACTGTTATTGTTGCTTTTACTATTTTTATCACTATTACTAGTAAAATAACAACAATAATAATGTAGTCACTTTCCCTTCACTGCGTATTCTTTTTCCATGACAGGATGTGATGTGAAATATGACAATAATGTTGCTGAGATGTCTGCGAAACTTCAGACCGCAGTTGTTTGCGGTGGGAATCGAACTCGCTGTTAATCTTTCCGGAGGCTCTCAGCCGTGTTTTAACCAATAGGTGCTATCAGCTATTAATAATAACAATTGCACTTGCTCTTGTTATTTTGCATTTGTTTTCTGAGAGAAAGGAAAATCGAAGAACCCGCATTATCTGGTGGTGAGCGCATTAGCCCCCAGGAGGAAAAGCGCTTTCGTTCCCCACCGCAGACACCAATAATATTGTTGCTACATGACCCGACAACAGATGTATCAGTGTGCAGATACCGGCACTCTTTCCACTGGATTCCTTTCCTTGGATCAACCATCCATGGTGCTTTCCTAAGTTTTTTGAGTTTAGCTTCGGCTCTAACCCATTAAATCTTCTTCACTGATGCACTAGTTTGAGGGAAATTGAGTTTCTTCTTCCTGGAAAGTCAAAGTCAAGTCTGGTACCAAGTCCTGGACCCTAAAGTGATGGCAAGGTTGGCTTGTCCGGTGTAGGGTCGAATCAGCGCCTAGGTAGGTGCGGCAGTCCGTGTTATGAACACGATCGCTAGCCCTGCTCGCACTCCCTAATATACATATGTATATATATATATATATATATATATATATATATAATTTTTCTAGCAGTAGCTGTCTATTGGTGTACACTCGACAAATAAAATCCTAAGATTCATGCATTTTAATACACTTATAATTTAGGTTAGTAGAAAAACTTTCATGTCATGGGTGAACCGAAATGTTAAGCAGATGAAAATTTTTTTTTTACAAAACTCGAAAAGTTCCAGAATAAAAAGAGTTGCAATTAACACATTTTATCTTAATAGTAAGATGTTTCCACTGCGTTTTTGTTGAGCAGAAAAAAGTGAGCTTTACAGCCTTTTCCATCATAATATCCATTACCTCCCAGACCATTTTGAAAGTGTGTTCTTCTACCAGCTACAGTTTTGTTTTCAGTATTGTATTACCGCTAAAAGTTTTTTAAGTTCTCGAGATGTAATATTTCAGGTAAATGACATAGCTGATATAATTACGAAGACATAGGACAGTTCTGGAGTAGAAATTTCTCGTGTTGTGGACTGACATTACTCACCTCGTAGGATCGTAGAAGAAACGTCCGAATCCGATAAAGCTGTTGCGAAACGGTCCATAGTCACCGTAGGTGAGACCGTACCCAACACTCCAATAGGAGAGACCACCGAATACGACGTCCACCACGTTCTTCACCATTATGTTCACTTCGTCTTTAGCAGAAACACTGCCAGACTCAAGCAAACCGAAGCCTTCAAATTAGAACGTTCATTCTTTAGATATTTATTCTCTATTGTTTAATGACATTGATAGGACATGAATCTAGATAGGCTTCAACTCAAAGAAGGAAAAGCGTCACTGTCGGCGTCAAAGCGTACGTCGCCGTCAAAGACTTAAAAATAGAACGAGATTAAGCCATTTTTTTGCAGGATCGCGAGCCATATTGCTGATATAAATTATAAATTGTAGATTTTTGTGATACACCTTCTTAAAGGCTAGTAAATCGAACTCGTCTCAAATCAGAGCAGATTTTCAACTGGTTCGAGGTAATTAATGGTCGGATGATTTTGGAATCCAGCATGCCTCATAGGATTTCTGAAGCAGTAAATATAAAAGGCAAAATAATTATAAAAACTTGTTTAGCTCGTGTTGATCGTGGAATCATTCGTGCGCTCGCTAGCGAGGCCAAATCCTCAATGGTCATTGTCGAGTCTAAGAGGTACCCACTTGGCTTATCTTACATTACCAATACAAGCAGTGCTATATCTTATAGTGGTATTTGTCAAAATATTCTGACTACCTAATTTTACAAGTCCTCATTATAATGCATGGCGCGTCCTGCCCACCTAATTTATGATCGGATTCGCTTTCCTATTCAAGTGGCACCGGATTCACATCATCCGCATTCGATAACGTTGAGCATTCTTTCGGTCTGGTTATATAGCGGCGAGGTTTACTCCGATAACAACATTACAAATGGTAAAATTTAGCTCGTGAAAGTGTTACAGTTTTCTTTAAATCTATGAAGATCTCTGGAGATTGTTACCTATTGAGCACGTGCGCATTGATTGTTCAGGGAGTCAACACCCCGTATAACTCAACTGAGTCAATAAGATTTTTTAAGACGATAGAGTTAAGATTATGTGCTAATACTATGTTTTACTTTTTCATTGTCGTGTGGATATATCTATCATACTCACCGCTTTTCTCAATCCTGGTTGTATGCAAGGCTGTTCTGCTCCCAAATTTTTGCAACCCAGCAACCCAGTTGAGAGCAATAAAAACACATTGGCGACTGAAAGCAGGCAAACTGGAGGACGGCCGCCAATGTCGTATAGGTCTTCAAGTTTGTGAAAAGATCATATCCGGGTGGTTCTTCACTGACTGTGAATCTTGCGTTCTGGCAAGTAACATGTGCGAAGCCGAGCCAACAATCTTATGAACACTGGACGCCGGGTGATAAGATATGCCGATATTAAGCAGGCGTCTACGGCTATTAAAGAAATGGGTCTGGAAGGTCCAAATAGTATAATTTTCTTTTCCATTTTAGATGCTGTAAGTCTTCAGACTAGGAAGCGTAGATCTACAACGCGTTTTGTTTAAGGAAGTTTGCTAGGCGTTGTGGATACAGCCCTATCCTAGTGACGTTCAAATTCTCGGTTCTTTAGCAACATCGTCACTGTGTTAAATAAATCAGTTGTATTCTATTTCAAACTTATTAGTAACAATGTACTGTAAAATACTGTCTCAATGAACATTGCGTTGCACTCCATAGTTCCCAGATGAAGCTCACTTGGCCCTAAAGCTAAATTTGTCCTTGGAGTCCCTAATGAATGGGTAATTAGTGCCGTTAGTTGCTTAAAAAACCTATGCTTATGAATATTAGTCCAGTTTGTCAGTCTATTATTACCTTGAAATTTTATCAGCTTATCGATACCTTCCCGACCACATGTTTACTATTTTATACTTCTTCGCCATTGCTTCTGTGCAAATATGAACAATACTTTTTTCATTTTGAAAGAAACCTACAATACTGATATAATAGGCAGAAGTTGGCTCGACAACGTTCTCAACAATCTCGCTCTCTAATTTACATGAGCTCAGCGTTGAAGGGTTTGTATAAGAATTCAACTCATCCACGACATTTACGTAATGACAGCCAAGATCACCTTTGGAAGGTTATAACCAATGAGAAATATTCACTTATGGCCCGATATTCATCGCTTATTATAGAAACGAACTCTTCAATGCTTTACCATTTCATCGTGGGTGGAGTTCATCCAATCCTCCATCCATGAGGGTTTGTCAATTGCAAGAAGCGTTCGATATTTCCACATCTGGAACCGCCGACATCCAGAAAGAAGCTCTCGAGAACGCAGGGGAAAAATCTTGCCAATTTAGCAGGAACAGAGAACGATACCCGTTTTAAAGACCATAATGAAAGTCTTAACTTTCATTTACTTCCTATTTTTTTATGACAGAGCACGATTTGACATTCAATTATATTTCACATCGTACCCTCTCTTTAAAAATAAGCATTAGACAAAAACTAAAACATTGTGACTTAGAATCCAGGTTCACCCTGACTGGGTTCATCACTAATTCCTACTTTGTAGATCATTTCTGTATTCTTGTGATTGCTGATGGCACCATGACGGTGAAAGAAATTTGGTTGAAAGAAAGGAAGAGACCTCGGTTGGTGCGGTGGATAGCACCTGAAACCCGGTGACAGTAATCTCGGGCTCGAAGCCCATATGAGTTCCTAAGTTTTGTTCCTATCTTAACACAATGCAACAGTCAATAATGTAATTTGGTTGGCAGCAGGAAAATCGATTAACACTCAAATTTTGGTCGGAATGCTCGATTTTGGTCGGGATAAATAGTAACTGTAGGACGTTACACTGTAAGTCTTTTGTTTCTATACCAATGAATACACCTGCGAAAACTTCGGTTTCAGAATCGGCACCATATCGTCTATTTTTATAGTTGTTTTGGCAGCTTGAGAAAAACGAAACGGTTTTCACTTCACAGGCCAGTCTTCTAACTCCACGTCGAATAATGATTTGTCCGTTACTACGTCGGAAACAAATGCAGTCATTTTTTTCTCCCTTTAAATATAACATGAAAGTTTGTGGTAGAGTGCAGACACATAATCCATGAAACTTCCCAAAAAAACCGAAAAAACTATAATCCTTTGTCGTCGTCCTACACGGTAAACAGTTGTCAAAGTTTTTAGTTTTTTTTTTAAAAGATATAGAACTGTCTCTGAATGCTAAAGCAAGCAGTTAGGTCTGCAAAACCCGAGCCTTCAACGGAAGTCGATTCCCAAAGTAAAAATTAGAAGCGCCATAGTGCTTAAGCCAAAGTTTACGGTAACAATGTCTACCAGAGCGATATATATCTGAGCTATTTCTATGTATTCTGCTGAATTCTGTATTCTTTACGGCAAAATGACGAAGAACTCAAGGTGGCCCACAAGGTAACCAGGTAGCTCAATTAGTAGCCGCTTTCTAGTGATAATATCTAGGAATTTTAAGCGCCTGCAAAAGAAAAGAAATAAAAATTAAAATGAAGCTGCAAAGTATTCAGGCAGCTTCATTGATATCCGTTTTCAACGAGTAGATTTTTGAATCTAAGGTATCCCAAAATTTGTAGATCTTTACTACTTGAAATAAGATAGAACACATGTATTCTTTCTTTGATAAGTTTACACGAGGCTGATACATAGTCGTTATTTTCGTCTAGTGTTTGGACGTCTTCATCTTCATCGGAGCTGATGATGGACCATGGATGAAAAATATACTCGAATAATCTACTCTGATAAAGACGTAGGCGTCGAAACGTCAGCCGAAAATAAAGATTAAGTCGTGCGAAACAGCTGAGAGACGTGCGAAACAAAGGACCCGCATGGTGTGGTGGTGAACGCGTTACTCCCCGGAAAGGATAATAGCGCGTTCGTTCCCCACCATAGACACCTGCGGTCCAGAGTTTTGCAAATATCTCAGCAACGTTGTGGTTGTATTTCGCTTAATAACCTGCCATGAAAATTATAGAAGGCAGAAAACAAAACGTTAAACATTTTAAAGATTAAGTGTCAATCTCGTGTCAGTTTATCAAACAAAGAATACATATCGATTACTCATACTGAGGTTAAAGGAAAGTCCGTTTTGAAATAAGATACAGCAGCATTAAAGGACTTTTGAAATTCATTTTGGTGAAAACTAGTTTTGAAACATTTTGAAGAAATAATCCTTTCCCTTACGAAAGGATGATCACTTCCAGAAGGGTTCTGCTCTGACCATTACATCAAATGATAACCAGGTTCGATTTTTCTTTCCGATTAACAAGTAAGAATACCTGAATGCATAGTGAATATGATGAAACTGCTTGTAATAATCCATACAGCATCATCCTGATAGAGTTTGTCAACTTCAGACAGATTTAAATGTGCTGCATAGTGATGAATTTCTGAAAACAAGTACACATCATAGATTTCAAAATAGATCTTGATCTACCGATCGATAGTCGAGATATCGGACTCACGGACGATTTGCATCGCAGATGTGTTGATTTGATGCGCCATCGTTCGTTCATTCGTTCGCTCATTCACCACTGAAGCCATTCAATCCACAGTATCGTCATTTTCATCTCAAAAGCAGAAATTAAATACTACAGAAAGTTATTCCAGTTCAGAACTTAAGACGAAATTGAACGGAACGAATTGATAAGAGAGGAAGAGAAAGGGATAGAACAACAACTTAACGCTATTACTTTTCAATTTGTTTGGGTAAATAAACTCTACGCGAAGGAAATCATGATGAACATCCCGAGCTCTCTATAGAGAACATTTTTTTCATAGAATTTCTAAAACATAGCATTGTTAAGAAAATAGTGCGTCCAGAAAATAATGGACGTTCGCTGTCTCTCAGATTTTCACGTCCCCATTTATTATAATTTTTTCAGCTGTTCTGATTGTAAAGTAATCAGCTTTATTTACTGGCTGTTCTTTTTTCATGGCAGAGATGACAGAGATACGAAGCCGAAGATACGTACGGTGTGGTGGTGAACACGTTAGCACCCGGAAAGGGGTAGTAACGAGGTTCGATCACCACCGCAGGCACCCGCGGTCTCAAATTTTGCAGATATCGCCGCATCATTGTAGTTGTATTCTGATTACATTATGCACCATTTTAAAACGCAGATGTCGATCTCATTTTTTTGTTAGATATTTTGTCCTGATGATAATCTATGTCTCGTTTCGAAAAATAGGACCAAAATGAAAAAAGTCAAAGTTTTTTTCTTTGTGTTGAGGACTCAGACTTCGACATGAAAGCGAGGAACCGTCAACACATCATACGATAGGAGAAAACCCTTGAGGACGAGAAGGATTGAGATGGACGAGCTCTTCCAACCCTGATGATAACGGTGACTTGAAGAAGTTAGTTGAACCAGATCTCTCACCGAATTGGATTTGGATTGGCAAGTGAAAAAGCTTGACAACCAGCTGCTAGGTGAATAGAATACGAAAGGACCTAGGAGATGATAATCGCCATGAAGTCCAATCTGAGCTTGTTTTGAGAAACAAAAGCAATTCCTTATAGTTTTATTTCTTACTCGAACTGTAAGATGCGACTAAAAATAGGCCGTGTAGTGCAATATATAGTATACAGAGCTTTGTGTAAGAATTTCGTATACCGTCTTCCTTCCAACTTTTATGTGCTGAAATAATCAAAGCATTTTTCCTTATTGATCAACTAGCAAGGGGTTGGAAAAACTATTTAACAACGTAGACCCAGTTCCCGATGATGACGACTTTGGTCCTCTACTTGGATCAATACGCCTCTGAAAAAAGTGAAGATTCTGAAACGTCGGCTGAACAAATTCTTTTGCAACTTTGCATCAAGTTATCAGTGAAAAAACATATCAATGATTTTGTGTATGGTTGAGCAACGATGAAAAACGTACTGAGATACATCCCGATATCCTATTTTACACCAGAACGTTACAATGACGATTTAACGGACGGCAGAATACGGAGTCATTCAATTTGAACTTTGTGATTGCTGTGGAAATCACTGCATTAAAGAACTGTCATTAGCAAATCGATGGAATGTATCACAAACTGCGACGTCTACAAATATCATGAATCAATAAATCAATAGTGATCGGCACAACGTAAAAGTTGAAATGAAGGGAATGTAGGAGGAAGCGTAACGGTTAGGGACACCGTACGATAGGCCAACTGCATCTTAGGCAACCAAAGCCTATCAACCTCTTGGAGTAAGCAAATTAGTAGCAACATAAGACAAAGTCTTCGCGATCACTAAGTGGCTAGGTGAAGACATAGGAACGCTAAAGCCGAAATATTCCAGGAATTCCTGCACGAAGAATACGCCCTATTTTAACGATATTTGTAAAGAAGATTAATTCCTCAAGCGATAGTCGCACCTGTAGACAAACCAGGTCATTGTGGATAACACTTTCGAGAAAATGAATCGAGTAGAAGATGTGCCGGATTCTGCATGTGCGATATTGGCCTACATAAATAAAAAGGATAAAGTAAAGGATAAAGCTCTCGGCCTTGATCAATTTCTGAGGGAAGCGCCGTGCATTCGACTTCACTAGGCATCGTTTGGAAGTGATTGAATTCATGTATGACCTCTACAATGAGTCGCGGTGGTCAACCAATGTATCGAGCCAGTGCTGCTATCTTCTCAGACAAGTCTGCTACCAAATTTCCCACCTCGGAGGGATCGAAGGCTTGGTGGGCCATAAGGTTGGAGAACGATTCCACCTGTGCCTAGCAGGACGCCTCCGACCAGTGCGCCACACGTGCCCAATATTAATAGGAAAAAAAATTATCTAGCGGGCTCAATTGGTCTCTTTCCAACTGACTTTCACCTTCCAAGCAACTCTAAAAACTGTATGCTGCGAAAGTCCTGCACAATTTGGTCACTGGTGAGAACGTGTTTAGAAGATTCGTGAAAATAGTCTTTTCATCTATGGTCTGATCTGAGGTAGTAATAATATTTCATCCTTTCATTCACATATCTGTTCGAATGTTAAAGAACTGGAAATGGATTTAGTACAAACTTCGTCAACGCACAGTTCGGATCGACCACTGTTAACCATATGCGTGCAGTTGCGGTGCGCCTACTAATCAATAACATTCGCGCAAGTTGGCGTCACATCCGACGCGCACAGTACGCATTAGCCTCGTACATGTCTGACATCACAATTTGTGGTGTTTCATCATTACATGGCTACTTTATGGCTGCTTTTTTGATTTTACTGGTTTCATATGCTATGAGTGATGTGGACGCAAAGGGAAAAAATAGCTATAGCCGATTTTATGATTACGGTATACCAGATGATCACAAGAACACTTGAGTAAATTCTGTTGAAATGCAAAAGCTTTTATTCTTATGGTGTCGTACAATTCAGGAAAGGAGGAAGAGAACATCTGGGGCTTTTTCTGACAGTCAGCGCTATCGATTTCAGAGTAAATAAGTGGCTATACGACTCTTTTTGTAATCTCTTTGATCGTCTCACCAAATGCTATTAGTGTCGAAGTAATTACCTTGCTAGGTAATTTGTGCATAGCTGAGTCATGTCGGTGGTTTATGGTGTCGTAGAGATTAAAATTAAAATGTGAATGGCGATTTTAAGCGATTTTAATGCAGATTCTTTTTAAGTGAAAGCTAAAATTGCGTGGCAGAGATGCGCAAAGGTTTCCTCAGTGACCATTCTAATCTCCTCCTCGTATTCCTATGCTAAAAACCTCTATGGGGTGATAAGAAATGAACTTTGTATTACCAGTGATAAATTTCATCGCAAATAGATTATTCAGGTCAACTCATCATAAAATGAAAGAGCATGGATGCTGTGAAGAAGTTAAGAAATGAAATCACTCAATACCGCTACAGTAAGCATCTAGATGCCTGCACGTCATGTAAAGACCATGTCATATAACTGCAAACGGTGAGAGCCTGTGTGCTTTTGATGGTGAAAAAGAAGAAGAGATTTAAATGGAAAGAAAGAAGCAGACAGGTAGAGAGAAGGAGAAGAGGACAGCTAGGAAGACAAATCTTATTTCACGTTTTTGTATGCCATTATTTATAATGAATATTTAAAATTCCTGTTGTTATTAATTCCTCAAAAGCTGCTTTTCAGCCATTTTTCACCAGAATAACGTGGCTTAACCAGACGATTATTGATCCGTATCGATCTAACCAGTGCTCTTCTTTCTGGTTATATCTTGAATTGCATAACGAAAACGTGTTTTTTCATTTGTGAAATCATATTTTCAAATTTACTGAGTCTTTCAAGCTGCGCGTCAGCGAAAGCGTACAAAGAGTTTCTGAAATAAAAAGGATAATAAGACAGCAGTGATGGCCATAATTAGATAAATACTAGGGCGTTCTGAAAAATAGCTGCGCTGTTGGTTCTCGATTCATCTTTCTATAATAATACAGTTTTATGTAAAACTTCCATCGACCACCGTTGTAACTTTTTCAGGCATCTCAATAATCTACGTCTGAAGAAAGGCCTTTGATAGCTAAGTCGTTGCTAGAAATGCTCTTAGAGCTTGAATTATCCGTTAAAGCCTTGTATTCCTATATAGTAGATTGGAGGAAAACGTGCAAATTCCAGTGGTTTACTTTTGTGTTAATGAGCTTTGCTATGGGATAAGGCATGTTCTCACTAAGAGTGGTTAATAGCAGGCGTTATTTTAAAGGCAACTTGGTAATAGCTATCAATTTAAATATTTAATGAATTGCTATTTTTACTGGAAACAACACAACCAGGTGCAACATATTTTCCATCTACTTGATATGTAGTTAGAATTTTTCTCTGCAGTTAAACGTCACACGAGTGTGACGTGAGGTCCTATCTGTTGACGGGAAGTTTTCCATCACGGACCTGGTTTTTTTGCATAACGACAGCGATTTCTGGAATCGATTTCCTCTTACTTGGGCTTCTCGGTGAAAATACCAACATCATTGTGAGTATGGGTAGCCATATGCCTGAGAGGGTTTCCCTTCGTTATATGATGTCTCTGTTCGACACCAAAGGAAACGACGTAGCCGCGTCGCGGTGTTAAGCCTCATTAACAAAATAGTATGATTACGCCCGCAAAGGGTAAAGGATTGAGCGTTCGCTGATTCAATAATCAGAAAGCGCTCTGGATTCGACTCCATTCGTAAAATGACAGAAATGAGGAACACATTTCACCTAAAAGATGGCTTACTAGGCTCTACAGATTTATCAAGTCAATATTCTGAAGTCTAAAACGGGTTCATTTTCTAGAAGCTTATTTACAATAATATGAGCCTTTTGATAATTTTTACGGTGGTTGGTTTCGAATGAAAAGAACATAAAGCAAGAATAGTGCAATGTACTTCAATCGCCAAAGTAATCAAAGTGAAAAGCTAGAAGACAAACCCTCAATGATTTTGAGCCTTCAGCTCCTGATTATTTAGGACGTAACTTTTGTTACTATAATTTATTATTAAAGATGGTAAACAACACTTTTGTATGCTTTTCTAGATGCAATCGTTCCGAGTGACAGAAATCGTAACCCGAAGAAAAAGGTGAAGGAGTTCAAAGTT